TCTGATGAAGGGTCTAGGCCTGAAACGTCAGCCTTCCTGCTCCTATGATGCTGCTTGGCCTGCTGTGTTCATCCAGCTCTACACCTTGTTATCTCGGTGTATTTTATTTGTTTTGCACCAAAGCACATAACATTGTGTGTAAAAAAAAAGCCAACAGAAAAAAATGAAAGCTGTCACAGTTTGTGAATTGCAACACTTCAGGAGATGAGGGAAGAAATTTGCCTCAGCAGCATGTTTTCATTTGACATAAAGGCAACCTAATCGAAACGTACAAGATTCTCAGAGAACTTGACAGTGTAGATGCAGGGAGGTTATTTCCGCTTGTGGGAGATTCTAGGCCCAGAGGGCATAGTCTCAGAATAAGGGGAGTACATTGAAGATGAAGAGGATTTTCTTCTCATAGAGGGTTGTGAATCTGTGGAATTCTTTACCTCAGAGTGCTGTTGAGCCTGGGTCATTAAGTGCATTCAATGCTGAGACAGACAAATTTTTAATTAGTAAGGGAATCAATGTTTGTGGCGAAAAGGCAGGAAAGTGGAGTTCAGGATTATCGGGTCAACCATGATCTAATTGAATGGTAGAGTAGACTCAATGGGCTGAATGTCCTATTTCTGTTCCTATATTTTATGGTCTTATAAAGTAGTTTAAATTACTAAAATCTCAAAATAGTGCTAAACTTGAGAAATAGAATAAATTAATATTTTAAATTCTTTGAATCAAAACAATGATATAGATAATGTCCCCCTTTTTATTCCTGATGCAGACTGAACTTGTCTCATTTGTTCTTCCTTATTCTGCTCCTTTAACACTTTGCACGGTATCAATGATGCCTTTGAACTGAATCAACCAGTGTCACATGCAGCATTGGGTTGGGAATGCAATAATGTAAGGAAATGGTACTGATGTTCACTCATCTGCAGATTTTTGATCTATGTATTGTAGCCAATTGACTGTATTTGTTGAGGGCTTCTGAATAATATCAGCAACATTTTTGAAATCAGTAAGTGCTGGAGTAAGTTCGAATCTGAAGTTTGCATATGCTAACTAGTCCAAGTGCTTTGCTTTGATAGTGGTCTCATTTTGTCTCGGTTTCTTCCAAATAGAGCAAGCGAATTGTCTTGCATTGTTGAGGATGATGTTCGGAATCTAAATTGTGCAAAACCTCATTGATTATTGTGGACTAAGCTACATAATCAGTGTCCTCTACCTTCTAGCATTTCATTGGCTAATAATGGAGAACATAAAAATTCACAGCAGGAATGAACAGCTGATGTGTTAAAGATGGGAGAGGTTAAGATCAGACTGAGTATGTGAGGCACCTACCTACTTATCCAATATATTGATTATATATTGCCACAAGACACAAATACACACACATATCTCAGTACTTAATAAAGTACATATATATTATGAAGACAGCACTGATAAGCTAAACCCTGTTGAATACTTTAGTTGGCAAATATATCATTGAGAGTGCTCAGAGGCTTTAAATGTAACCCTCTATTCATGAAACATCTAATTTACATCTACAATTATGGGGCAGCACGGTGGCTCAGTAATTAGCACTGCTGCCTCACAGCACCAGGGATCGGTTTGATTCCACCCTCAGGCGACTGTCTGTGTGGAATTTGCACATTCTCCCCATGTCTGCATGGGTTTCCTCCGGGTGCTCTGGTTTCCTCTCACAGTCCAAAGATGTGCATGCTAGGTGGATTGGCCATGCTAAATTACCCGTAGTGTTCAGGGATGTGTAGATTAGGTGGGTTATAGTGGGGTGGGTCTGGGTGGGATGTTTTGAGGTTCAGTGTGGACTTGTTGGGCCGAAGGGCCTGTTTCCACACTGTAGGGATTCTGTGATTCTATGATTCTATTCTGTGCTCCTGTCTTTAGCTTCACTTTGTTCCTTCGCAGCGTCACTTATCTCCAGAAGATTTCTACCGAGTGTTTGGAATGACACTTGGAGAGTTTGATCGACTTGCATTGTGGAAAAGAAATGAACTGAAGAAACAAGCACGGCTTTTTTAAGCACACTTAAAAGTTCCATTAGAGAAAAGTCAAGAGGAATTGTAAGGTCTTGCCTACCCAAGTATACAAAACATTTAATCACACAATCTGTTCATAGTGTTTTCATATCATTATAATGTAAGAAGCTACATGTATTCTATGGATGTTTTGCAAATGTTGGTCACTTGTGGGCTCACATTTCCATCATATCATGAAAGTTTTATGATGTAATTATTAATCTTCAGATTTCATGAGCCCAGATTCATGTTTAAAATTGGAATTTGGGAAAATAATAGGATTATTTGTTGTTGGTCTCTTTATTTATCGCTTGTTTTATTCTTGCTCAGTTTTGCTTTTCAAATCAATTCTTTCTGCAAGCATCAAATTACTTCATTACATTTGTTACGTAACTGAAGGAGAATTAGTAAATGTCAAATCTCTGCACAAGAAAGCATTGCAGACATAATGTATGACTGGGATAGCTTTTGTGGACATTGTCCTAAACAGGAATTGTTATGATCTCACAATTAAGCGCTTGTATGATTATGCAACTTACTGAAATGATTATTGACACTTTTTTTCTCAGTGGATATAGAGCCCACATAATTGTTTTTCCACTGTCAGTTGCTGCATCCTGTTGAATAAATAAATAAATGATGTAGATTTGGCTTAAAATGATTTGTGCTCATTTCAATTAAGCTACAATGTGTAACTTGCAATTTTTGATGAGATGGTGATGTTGGAATTCCAGGCTGGATCAAAAGTGGAGACCAGGAAAATTGGCTGGCACTGATTGGAATTTGAGGCAGAAACCAGTTCTCCTGGAATTCTGCCTGTTTTTTTTTCCATATGTTCTATTTTCAGGTGAAGAGGCATGACAAATTATCCTCTGCCCCGCTTGCTAATGCCAAAGATGCCTGTCTGGACTACTCCAGGAATTTCACTGTACAGGTCTCTGTTAATCGCATAATGTTCAACACCATTCATGACTCATCAGATACTGAAACAGTCCATGTCCGAATGAAGCAAGACCTGGACAATATCCAAGCTTGGTCTGACAAATAACATTCATGCCATAGAAATGCCAGGCGATGACAATCCCCAACAAGAGTGAGTCTAAACATTGTCCCTTGACACACAATGACATTACCACATTATTACTATCCTGGGGGTTATTATTGACCTGAAACTAACTAAAATAGCCATATAAATACAGTGGCTGCAAGAGCAGGTCAGAGGCTTCGAATCCTGCAATGAGTAACTCAAGTTCTGGTTCCCCAAAGCCTGTTTGCCATCTATAAGGTACAAGTCAGGAGTGTGACAGAATTCTCTCCATTTGCCAGAATGAGTGCTGCTCCATCAGCATTCAAGAAATGTGACACCATCCGGGACAAAGCAACCTAGTTGATTGGCATCAAAGACGCAAACATCCTCTTCCTCCACTATCAATGCTCATTGGTGGCAGTGAGTGCCATCTATAAGATGTGCTATAGAAATTCAACAAGGCTTAGATAGCACATTAAAGCTCACCACCATTTACGTCTAGAAGGACAAGGACGGCAGATACTTGGGAACACCATCATCCTGCTAGCTCCCTTCCAAGCCACTCATTATTCTGGCTTGGAAATATATTGCTGTTCATTCAATGTTGCCAGGTCAAAAGTCTGGAGGTCCCTCCTTAATAACATTGTAGGTTTACATTCAGCAGTTCAAGAAGACAGCTCACCACCATCTTCTCAAGATCACCTATCGCTGGTCAATAAATGCCAGTCAGCTAGCAAGCCACATCCCCATGAGTGATTTTTATTTTAAGTGCTTCAGTGGAACTCTCCACAGCTGGGACCTGCCATGGAGTTTATAGGTGTTTTTTGAAAAAACCCCTAAAGCTTAACAGGGAAAGATAATTTAAGCTGGAGAAGTTTGATTATCTTTGTTATAAGATACTAGCACAGTCCACTTCGTAGCAAAAGACACTTTTTTTATTCAAGTCTGGGAAATACCTGGAGAGAAATAAGTTCAAGAATGGCTTACATTCCAACCATGCCTTTTATTACATCAGGATAACCAAAATTAAGTTCTTTGAAGTATAATCACTGTTGTAATTAATGTAGAAAATACTGCAACCAATTTGCACACAGTAAATTCCCATAAATGGCAATTTAATAATAGTCAAATAATCAGTTTCAGTGATTTAGTGATAAATATTTACAAAGGATGCTGTTGAATTCTTCTTTGAAACTATGCATGTGATATTTTGTGCTTATACTCGAAACCACAGACAGGGCCTCAGTATCATTTAAAGGATGGCATCTTTGACAACGTGACATTTCATCAGTACTGGCAGTAGCACTGTTAGATTATATGTTTAACACTTTGGAATTCTCAATCTTCAGACACAGAGGTGACAGTGATAAACTTTCTGCAGCAACTGAGAACCTCAGGCTAGGAACTGGGTGCTAATAATGCAAGTTATTCCCACAGTGTGGGACAGGAATAGTGTCCCTGGTTGTTCTTGGGTCTGTTTCACCTTTGTCTCCAACTGCAAGTTACGAAGTCCAAAACTAAATTAAATATTTCTGACCCTA